TAGGTCTTGATTCACTTGTCAACATCATTTATAGGTAAAGTAATGGTGGCTAGACATTATTATGGTTATTGACACTTTCATTGCCTGTTTGCTTGTAGAACTTGTCAAATTCATTGGCTTTACATATAAAACAGCAGTCTTAAGTAATAAATGTGTTTTTATGTATTTTCTGAGACCATGAAGCTCTTATGGTCAAACTAATTAGTTTTTATACAGATTAATGATTAACAAACTTTGCTCATGACACTTTTTTGTTCCTGTGCAGGTATCAGAGAGTAATCACTTAGCATTGCAAGATTTCTTTCGGAAGTTTCCTGAATACTCTCAAAATGATTTTTACATAACTGGAGAAAGTTACGGTGGAATATATGTGCCTACGTTGGTGTCAAGGGTTTTGGATGATCCAACCATTAATTTAAAAGTAAGTTGTTTCTTGTTGAGATATTTAAACCACTTGATGGCTTTTACTTGATCAGTTATCTTTAAAAGGCTATTTTTATTGCTATTTTGTGTCATTTTAAACTAATGTTTGTGACTGTAGGGTTTCGCAGTTGGTAATGGATTATCTGATGATGAAATGAATGACAATTCTATTGTTTACTTTGCCTACTACCATGGTCTCTTGGGAGATGAGTAAGTTTCATTGTTGAAAGTTATACATAGTATAATGTTTGTCATTTGGTTTGGTTATTTTTTTAAACTTTATTATTATTTTTATTTAAATTTCTTGCTAAACAACTTCCATAATCAGCTAACATAACATCAGCTAAATGCTGACATTTAGAAAATCTTTTAATATTTTGTTGTTGTTGTTTTCTTCTTAGAATATATACATTAAGATTTTTACCTAAGCTTGAAATGTACAATTTCATATGTGAATCTTCCAAATCAATTGACTAAAACTGTCAGACTTGCATTGACTATGTAACAATGTTAGTATATATCTATTTTTATTGATTCTTCAATGAAAGCTTAAATTGTACACACACAAAATAAGTTTGAACTGAAGACTATATTTGTTTGTTTCACTTGCACAGGGAATGGATAAATTTGTTGAAAGTTTGTTGTCCAGGAAAAGAATCAAGTCTAACTTGTAACTTTGTTGCTGGTATGAAAAATCCACAGTGTTCCTCAGAGGTTGGTTACTGTAAATATGTTTATTCAAAGGTGCAATCTAAAAGTTTTGAAAAAGTTGTTAGCATCTTAACAACTAACTTATGCATTACTGATTTATAAATCAATTCCAAGGTTATTTACCTAAGACTATTAAAGAAATTAGAAAGTGATAGATTGTTATTAGTTTTTTTATTTTATATTTTTTTTTAGCTGCAAGATGTACAAAATCTGGTTTGGCGGTCTGGTTTAAATGTCTATAATCTGTATGCTAACTGCCCAGGAGGAGCTAAAGACCTCACACTTCATTTTGATGAAGAGAGGGAAATGTTTGTTACAAGCAACTTTGGCTGGCCTTTTATGTTTTTAAAAAGCTCAATTTATGACATGAAACAGGTTTAGTTCTTTTCTTTTTTTTATTTCTAATTTTTTTTTTGTTAAATTTATATCTTGTAATGTAATCAAAACTTTAAGTTATGCATTCTAATCAGTTTTAAAATATTTCATTGTATAAACTGTTCTTAAGAATTAAATGAAAAAGAACAAAAATCATTAGTGATAAAACAACATTCTTTTTAATTTAATTTTTTTTTTTTCAAATGCTAAAAGGGTCTCTTGCATTTAGATTGTGCTATTGCTAGACAAAACCCCTAACATATGTTATAGTGTCATTTCTAAAGAATTAATAGAAATGATGTAATTGTAGTCATTACTATAAAGTCTTTTAACCTGTTTGTTTGTTGTATATATGACTCTAGAAACTGAAGACTTTACCAGCAAACAAATTAGTATCAACACCACCATGTACCAATGACACTAATGTCATCAAGTATTTGAACTCAGCCTCTGTTAAAAAAGCTCTCCACATCTCTAAAGAGGCTGCAGACTGGGACATTTGCAGGTAAATGACTTCATCACAAGTAGCATGCGCCAGCAGTTTTGAATAACTACTAAATTTAAATGGTTGAGTTTTATGGCCTACTTTGAGTTGACCTAGATCCTCAAGTGGGCTTTAGATTATGTCAATGAAGATCAAAAGAGTTCTTATAACATGATATTACAAAAAATATGGCCTAATTATAATTAAGTCACACATGATCTTGCCAGATAAAATAGTTGGTTTTGATAATGATCGAATGTATTTTCTTACCACCCAATGTAGAAAAAAGGCTTTAAATTATTTGTTTTTGTTGAAATAATAATTTACATTTTTAATTAAAATGGTAAAAAACATGTTAATGAAATCATTTTTTTTTTTTTAAGGTTTTCAAACAATTATATTCATTAAATTTCATTTATGTTTTTACATCAGATTCAATCTAAATTGCTCACCAAAAAATGAATGCTCGCTAAGAAAAATAAAGAACAGAATAAAATACTAGTTTCTTTACTTTTTTACCTATTACTTTTAGTTCTTATTAGCCAGTACATAATGAAAACAATAATCTATTGTATATCACAAAATATGTGTATTTGTTATGTAAACCTTTTTCTTTTTGAAATTTTTAGCACTGTTGTTGGCAACAATTATAAGCAACTATATTCTACAGTAAAGCCTCAGTATCTGAAAGCAGTTAACAGAAAGGTTGGTCTCAATAATAATTCAATTCACTTTCATAAATGAACTCTTTGTTTACAAAATGTCTATTTTTATGAACAATACAATATTTAAAAAATCATTTAATTCTTTCCTTTATAGCTTCGCGTCCTTGTATATAATGGTGACATAGATATGGCTTGCAACTTTCTGGGAGATGAATGGTTTGTGGACTCCTTAAATTTAACTGTAAGTGCAGCAAATAAATGCTTAAAAATACTTTTTATAAAATTAAAACTTTCATAAAAAATAGTTTTATATTAGAATTCATCTTTTTAATACTTAATTGAAAGTTAACCGGAGAGAAATTATGTTAGAAAAAATGTTTTTGAGTCCTAGAACAAAATGTTTATTGAATCCGAGAAAAAAATGTTTGTCTTTCAAATTTGAATCTAATTTAGAACCCACAAGAACGAAGGAAATGGTATTACAAAGAAGCTGATGGTACAACACAAGTTGCAGGCTTTGTAAAAACATTTGATTTTCTGACATTCGCAACTATTCGGGTAAGATTTTAATAATAGCTCCTTAGACATGTTACTTAAAAGTAAAGTAATGTTCCCATTTCAGACCTTGCGGTCTATAGGACAGATGATGTAAAGGTCATATGTTTCTGTTTTGCATGGTTAACAAGGGTGTCAATGTGGCCAGCACAATTACCAACAACCTTTACTTTCCCCAAATGTCAGTTTACCCAAAAAGCTGTGAGAACTCAGAGGTTCCCAAAGATCCTGAAATAAAAAATCCCAGTTTTCACCAAGATTTGAGCCCGGGGCCTTCGGTTTGGAAGTCAAGCACTTTACCATTAAGCCACTGCGCCTCCTTCATGTTACTTAATGCTCCCATAAAAGTTTTCTTGGCCCTCAAACCTTCACAGTTATGGGTCTTGTGTATAAATGCAACATTATGATTTCATTTAGTAAAAGTAAATTCATCTATTCAGGGCAACATTTGTTTCATGTGATTTACCTGTTTTCATCACTAGGTAATAAGCGTGTCATATGGCTAAGTAGTGACTAACTGCTTACACCTTCACCAACAAATTTAGCTACCCATTAGAACTGGCTTGAGTTATAAAAGGCTTCACTGAAATTTTAAAGTCTTGTGGCAATAAGAACACCACCTTCTTTACCTTTTCTTTAGTCTGTTGGACTGTTGCTGCACCACACAAGATCTGTTGACCATCTTTCTCCATTCCTGTCTTTCTTTTTTTCTGGTACTCTTCCCCGAAGGGAAGGTCTTTGCGAGCCTTGAGGATCTTGTGACATGGCCATAGAGTTTTAGTTAGTGTTTTCTGACAGTAGTTAGCAGGTCATCATGTGGTCGAGTAGCTTTATTAAATAAAAGAGCCTTTTAAAAGAATGTTAGTAATAAAGCCACACAGTAACTTGCAAAGACATTCTAAGAAATGACCATGGAAGATTGTTGCTAAGCATTTTTTAGTTAAGACTTTTAAACAGACATAAAGAGAAACTTAAACTTGTGTTATATTCATTGACAGGACATTAGTTCCAAGTTTCTGTGACATTAATTATCATAAAAATTTTATTTCTTCAGGGAGCAGGACACATGGTACCAACAGACAAACCAAGACCAGCTTTGGAAATGTTCACAAACTTTATACAAAACAAACCTTTTAACTATGAACAGCAATGTTGTTGAACAGTGTTGTTGTGTGTATTTCAAACAGTTTGTTATGTGTCACAATACTGACTTTGATACAAAGTCTTTTAATTATTATAATAGGGTGCCTCCTGTTTTTTTGTGATAAATGGATACTTTTTTTCAAAAATTCTTTTGATTTTTTGACCAGTTGTGTTTTAAATTTCTAACTTTCTCTTTGCTTGTATTAAACAAGTGCATTCTGTTATCTTTGTATCAAAGAGTAGAATGTACAACAGAAGAGCTGCATATCTAGATACCTGGCTATGTTGTACATAAGCTTCCTTGTGTAAACTTGTGTCTGAAACTGCCACCACAAGGATCAGTTTGTGTCAATAATGTCTCTCAAGAATCATTTGATTCTTATAACTGCTTTATATATTTTTCAGTATTTATATATTAAACTATACCAGAAAAATTGTATTTAAGAGTTGTAATATATATATACTATAATCAATGTCTTAAGAGCTATACTTTGCCAATTCTGAAAAGTTTGCCAAATATTTTATGTGAAAAAATCTTTTTAGGCATCTAGAAGCAATTTTTGCAAATAAATTAATCAACCATATAATAATTTGGCACATAAAATAGTTACAATAATAATGTCGATTACTTCAATTCCGAAGATCAAGGATAAGTGCAATGTTTGTTTCATATAACAATGCAATTGGAGTTGCGACCTGCATAATTTCCATATCTGATGCAGACAAAGCTGTTGTCGAGCAGGAGTCAGTTATATTTTGCTTATCACATAAAGTGAATCACAGTAATTTCCTACACAAATGTTTTTTTTTATAGTCTTTTTGAAGTCTTATGTTACACTAAAGTAATAAATTAAATAAAGTAACTAACGGAAATATCCATCAAAACATTGATTTTGATCAGTGCTACAAATTATGAATAAAACTTCCTCTGAAGGCCTTACACCTTTTTAAAATAACTGATATATAAATTTAGTGAGGCCAATAAGCTGATGTCCTGAGCTGGTCTTCAGCATTTCCAGGAAAGCCATTACTGTGTTCCTCCACTAAACTTGTCAAAAGAATTTAAAGGGTGGTGGGGGGAGAGAACTCTAAGGCCATGGGAAATCTATTTCCCCCTCCCCACAGACAATACCTTAGCCATCCTTAGATGTGAAAAATCTGTAGGTCAGAGCTTGTATTCTGTTATCTTTGTATGACTTCTGCCAGACAACAGCTTTGTCTGCATCAGAAATGGAAATTATGCAGGTTGCAACTCTGTTTGATTTGTTATATGAAACATTGCACTCATCCTTGATCTTCGGAATTGATTACTAGTCTGCAAAATCCTGTTTGCTTCTGACTAGAAGACAAAATTATTACCTATTTATTACAGTAATGTGCCTGTCTCATACTGAAACTAAACTTGAATCAGTTATTTGCATTTGGTAAATCAAGCCTAATATAACTTTTAGTTGTATTATATTCTGGTTTCATTCATTCAAATGTTTCATTCACATGTTGCTAATTGAAAAAAAAAGAATAAAAATAATAATAAAAATTTCTCTATTGTGTTTTAAGATTTTCATTTGCTTTGCAGCTTGGCCTGCTGCTCAACTTTGTTCAGTTTTAGTTTTTGGCATAGTGAAAAGTTGGGATCCTAGTAGAAATCCTTATGGTGGTATGTCTAACTGCTGAACTAGTAGGGTAGGGAAGTTTTGATAAGCTATGCTATTTTAAAAGTAAAGTTCCCCTTTCAGACATTGAGGTCTATAGGGCAGATGATGCAAAGGTCATCTGATTCTGTGGCTTATGGTTCATAAGGGTGTCATGTGGCCTTTACTTTTCCCCAGCTAATGTCAGGTACCCATTAGAGCTGGGTGAACTCAGTGGCGCTCAAAGATCCTGAAATTAAAAATTCCAGTCTTCACCAGGATTTAAACCCGGGACCTCCAGTTCGGAAGCCAAGCACTTTACCGCTCAGCCACCCCACCACCTAAAAAGCTCTGTAGTTCAATCAAAATGTTTTTCAAATAGGTTTCAAAGAATGGGAGGGTAAATGTTCAAAGCTGTTCAAAAATAATAATAAAAATTTCTCTATTGTGTTTTAAGATTTTCATTTGCTTTGCAGCTGGGAGGGTAAATGTTCAAAGCTGCCACCAAGTCAAAATACCTAATAAAGCATCTTTGATTTTGTCTTCAAAGATAAGTGTTTAGCGAAAGGTTAAAGGCCACAAGACAATTATTTGTAGATGTGTCAGCTCCAGAGATACTAAAGTAGTCCTATCTATTTTAATATTTATATCTAAGCCAAAAAAAAAATCCAAAATTAAAGTCGTTATTCAAACAGTACTTTCTAGACTTTGTTCAAATAGAACATACTGCTTTAACTTCAGCCATGAAGTTGACTATGTTGAGTTGTCATATTTTTGTGATGTATGATGTTCATTGTATTCATTTGGTTATGTCTCTAAGTAAACATGAGATGGAAATTTAGTAACACACTTCAACAATTAACTATGAACAATGATGAATAACTACTGACCAACCCAAATATCTTGCATCATTTTCCTTAGACATCATACCCCAAAAAACTTTCTAGATGATTAATTATTCTTGACCTTTCCTTCAAACTTTCTTTGGAATATTTTTGTTCCTACTGATTCGCCTATTTCTTTACAAAACATGTTCAAGGTCTTCCCAATGTTTTGCTGACCAACATCTACCCTTGACTTGAATTACTAACAGCTATGAGCAGTGGAGTGTGACATCAAGTAATCAAACATTGAACAAATTGAGAGCTTTCTTTCCTATCTACAAGTTTTGAAATGTATAACAAATGTCACTGAACCAGCCCTCAGAGCATACACAATTCAGGTCTAGAGGAAAGTCTTGGAATAAAAGAATTGAAGTCAATCAAAGCAACACCACACAAACTTAAGTCCACCAGGTCTCCACATAGCAGGAGACTAAAATAGAAGTTCTGCACTCTCTAGTTTGTACATTTCAGTCCCTCACTATTATATGGGTATGACGAGTGTTACTGTTAGATTTCTTTAGTCACCAGTTACCTCAAACTTCATTGAAGCACACAAAATAACACCTAAAATACTTTAATTGTTTCTTTGTCAACACCTTTGCAAATTTTCATAAATTTTGCCCTAATAAATTCAGGCATACGAAAATTAAATACGAACTGAAATTATTCAGTTAGCCAATGCTCCTAAAATTACAACAAATCTAAATTTAAAAACAAACTAACTATACGCAAACATTCAAAAAAATAATGTCAATTAAATTAAATTCACAGCTAATATTTTTAAAACAAAGATTTTTAAGTTTCTCTAATTGAAATGGAAAAACTTTTTTTTTTTTAATATTCACAAAATTATTACAAAAAAAAAAAAAAAAGTTAAATTTACAAAAAAAAAAGTTAAATTTACAACACAATTTCTAATTTTGGTCCAACTTTTAATATTTTTTGTTTGTATTTATCAGCCATCAAATGCTATTCAGGCAACAGAACAGTGGGCTATCAAGTATTTGAGTCAGGAGAACTCTCCCCCAACTAACATAGAAGCAACCCACACATGAACCTCATGCTTCAAAAAAACAACAACAACATTAGCATCTAACTTCACACAGGCAATAAATTTGTTAAAATGAGAACCTAAACAGCACATGAAACAAAACAAAAACAACTGTGTTAACACTTAGAGACAAAGCAAGACATCTAAAGACACAAAGCAGAACACACAAACAAATCAAAACTTTGTATCTATGTCAATGAATATATATATATACACATAAATAACATAGTCCTCTGTACATGTTTTATTATGAATATGAGAAAATTGTTTTCAATTAATTGGTTTTGTATCAAAAGAAACAGTGTGACATGGTGAAATACAAATAAATAATGCCAGGGCCAGAATAACAGCCTGACAACTCAGGAGAAATCAAAGACAAAGCGACTAATCACATGACATGGTCAACCTTAGCATTCAGTTTGTTGCAATCTCTGTTCTAGTCAGTGCTAGTTGTGCTCTGGTACTCGCATTATGTTAAACACACAAAAAATGGAGGCAATAAATAAAATCTCACTCCTTACTTCATTTAGACCATAAATAGGCGCAGTGCCTAACTCATAGATGAATCATTCTTGTCTCTTTATGTAAAAAAAAAAGAACAACTACTGACAAAATTATTTACTTGTGCAACACATTGTCTGTGTCTTTAGTCCATTCTGGAATGAATCACAATCGGAGGGAGGGGGAGGTCAAAAACACACACATCTAAGACTTATCAGTAAAATTAGTATTCAGGTTATTACGCTATGCTTTTTTCTTTCTTTTTTTAAAGAAAAGTACCAGTGCAATCATCACACTTCTTGTGTAAAACAACTCTCATCCAATGGATCATTATTCCGTCATCTAATTTCTTTTCTTACAACAATTGAACAACAAGAAATATTGACCTAAGGCCACAACTGTTGTTTTTTTTGTAACTCGGCTACATAGATCTATAGTATATCACATAGATATAGGATACTCAAAAAAACTTATAATGTCAATAACACAAATAATGGTTGTCTTTCTCCTTCTAAGTTCTACTGAACAATCAATCTAAATGACTAATCTAGTCATCAATCTGCACCTACAATACTGAAACTTGGCAAACAAGAAACAAAAACTTCATTTCTGATCTCACAATTAAAAAATAAATTCTTTTAAGACATAGTGGTCCATGACACAGATGCTTATAAAGTAAATGAACAGGAAAGTTGTGTGGCCAACGCAAAGGGTTACCACTTTTTAGTTTCTTCAACGTCTACCTAGTCCCCACTTCAGAGGAGTCAAGGAAGTCAAAAAACTTAAATTGAAAAACCCCAGACCAGGATTTGAACTTAAGATCTTCAGTACACAAAGTCATGTGGTTTAATTACTAAGTCTCCACATCCCGTTAACAAAAAAAACACAACTTTTCCCAGACATTTGAATAGAACAAATTAAAATGGTAGCACATCTCAGCTCTACTCTCCTGATGTGTTTTAGCTCCTCTGAAACACATTGCGAACACTTATTTGTAAAGACGAGATTAAAATAAAAGGTGGGAGGGAGGGAGACAGCCAACTCAAGACTTTAAAGAGCACCACTCTTACTTACGGCAAAGCAGCGTTAAGTCTAATAACAATAATGATGAAGTTCAAGCTGCCAAAACTTGAAAGAAAATATTTATTTAGACCTACTAGTGTGATGCAGAATATTTAAGCCCCACTTCTTCAAAAGAAAAAAAGGTGATTGACATTGAGTGAATTAGACAATCTTTGTAGGACATATGCTAACCCAACAGATCTTAGAATATACAACTCCACACATTACTTTGGTTAACGCAGACTTTCACAATTAACTCTGTATGGGATGAAGATAAAGAGAAAAATAAAAGTTTTTGATTCTTTCAATTTATTGATAAAAACATAATGTCAAGAAGAAAAAAAAATGATCCAACTAGATGACAGTTATGAAATTTGACATCACAAAGTGGTGACTAATACACAAGTCAAGACTTACAGTCTTCACCTTTTATTGACTTTATTATTGAACATTTCTTCATGTTGAATAATTACCAAACATAAATGAGAACTTCAAGTCTCATTCAGATGCAATTGAAGTAAATAATAATGTGAAAACAAAAAAAAAAAAACAGTGTAAGAGCCTAAACACAAATATTCATTACACTTTGTCAAAGTCAGCTTTCACAAATTTCAAGCACAGTTTGCGTTAACACATTCAGTAATGTTGAAATTAATAACTCACAAAAAAAAAAAAATGCATTTATCATTACTATGGACAGCATCAGTCAAAACCATTTGTACAAATCTGTATACAAATATTATATCACGACTGCAACAACAGTGACACACCACAAGTCAGGATCCAAAGCAACAGAACAAACAAACATCTCCACCAGAAACTGGTTGCCACCCAATCCACAAAAAAGTTTTTTGTTGTGTCCATGGCAATGGTTGATTAATTAAAAAAAAAAATTTTTGTAAAAAGAATAAAAGTTTTTACTGTAAATTATAAATAAATGTCACAGTTCAGCCTTCTACCTCGCCGGTTTCTTGATTATCACTGCACTGAGCTGGGACATGAGAAGGGGAAGGGGTAGGGGAGGATAGAGGGGTCTGGTTGGGCAAGCGCTGAGAGGACACTGGCTGTTTGATGTTGATGTTAACTTGGGCTGGTGGTGTAGACTGCCCGTAAATGTTACCAACGCCGTTCCCGCCAGACATAGGAGTAGGGTTCAAGGCTATATCATTAGCCATGTTCATTATCTGTTGTGGTGGTGTCACCCCTCTGTGCTGCTGCTGTGGGATGGATGAAGCTTGCA